CAGTTACATTTATCATTGGAACTTGTACCTTTACATGACGTATCTTGGTTCTTATTTTTTTCCCATTCTCCTAGCCTTCCTTCTCCCCTCCACCCTTCCCTATTTAAAAAGACTTTGTTTCCATTTTTTTCTTTTATCTTATTTTTTCTCTTCCCTTTTTACCTTTCCCCTACCTCTCCCATTTGCCCAATACCTTTAGACCTTTTCTTCCTATTACAAAATATCAGTTATACATTTTGACCCTTATTTACACTTTTAGTTTATCACACCAGAGAAACTATACAGTATTTATACATTTGTGTCCTATTAATTTCACTTAAGAGTATGTCCTCAATGTGCATCCACTTAGCTATAAATTTCTCTAGTTTCTCTGTCTTTGTGGCTGAGTAGTACTCCATTTTGTTAAAAAAAATCACATCTTCTTTATCTAGTTTCCAGTTGGTGAGCAATTGGGCTGTTTCCAACTTTTACCTATTACAAACTATGCTGCTATAAACATGGGTGAGCATATATCACTGTGTTACAATTCTTTTAATTATTTTGGGAAGATACCCACCCACCAGGGTGGAGATGCTACATCCTTAAGGTGTACCAATCTATTCTATCTTCCATGACAAAATCCATGCAAAAATTTTAGCAAGGATCATTTGAGATCAATCCACATTTCCCACCCATTCCTCCTAGAAAAGGATCGTCTTCTCACATCTGCTAACTTTTTGCTCACTAACTAATGCCAAATTTGCCTGTATAAAAACAAGGAATTAGGAAGGCTTGGCTGAGGCTCACAAAAACAGTGGCCTGTCCATGGGGGAGAAAAAGAATAGTCACGCACAGAAACAGTGTAGATGAGGATCTAAATCAAAGAAATAAGAGTCCCAGAAAGATAGGGGACAAAGGAATGATGGCTCCGGCATCTAATTCCAGCACCAGTGTCTGCCTAGCCTTAAAATCCTTTTTTCCTTTAGCTACATCTTAAACTTAAACAATACACCATATTCTTTCAATAGTGGACATCAAGAAAGAATATGTTGGTGCTATTTGGGAAATGTTAAGTCAAGGTGAATAGTATGTAGAGCAGACCTACACAGTGGTATATATGTTTGTCCAAAAAACAATGTAAATACTATTAATAAAAACAGCTTGAGAGAGGAGCTGGGGTATGGTGTTGTAGGTGGTGCCCACCTGGAAGGCTAACACTTAGGAAGCTAAGGCAGAAGAATTTCCATTTGAAGATCATCTAGGATTACATAGCTGTTTCAAGGTCAGGCTGGGCTGCATAGAAAGGCCCTGTCTCAAAAGAAAATAATACAAATAAATACATTTTAGAAGGAAAAATTATTTTTCTATTGAAAGTTAATTGGAAAATGGTTCACTTTTCATTTATTCTATAAAGACAACCACTCAAATCCAGGTCTGATGCTTCAGCACACAAAAATCCTTTGTATGAGTTAATGAAGGTTCCATGTCTTCTCTATGGGTTGGGAACTGTATGTCCCATCTTGGATTCCACTGTGATGAAGAAAGCATTTCATGTACTGGTTACAAAATATAAAATTGCCAGGGTCCCAACACTGTTCTATAATAAACCAGCTGTGTGAGTTGGATAAGGGTCTGAATCACTTATCTCCTGACTCAGACACACTGGACTCCAGTAACAGAGTAGACCTTATGGGTAGTGAAGGCTAAAGTACGTGATGCAGGAAAAGAATTGAGACTCTAACAGGAAGTCACACACAGACAATGTTATCTCTTTTTGATCTGGCCAGGTTCACTTTCCTGTACAGTCAGGATCAAAGGCACTACTTCTGTTACCTTGAAAGATAACTCATGAGATAACTTGGTGGCTCCAGGTCTATTCTGGTGACATCATGCTGGAAGAATCCTCCTCCCTTTGCCTCCCATAGACATGGCACCTACTCCTTCCCCAGTTAGCCCCAGAGAGCCGAGCACTCACCCACAGAACCCCCATCCAGGAACTTTGCAGGGTGGTCTCCATAGTCCAGTTGGAAAGACATACTTTCTTGTCTTGGGTGGTGCACTGGGCTTCAGTACTTTAAACTGCAACATCTTTGGTTCTACCCTGGACCAGAGTAGTTATTTCACAGAGGTATTGTATGTGATGTGTCCACTGTATGTAGTGACAGTGGCTGCCATGATTCCCTCTATTCTGCCCTGGCCACTTACCCAGCATCTCTGGATACTAGTGAGGTGACAGCGGTACAGCCCTATCTAATCAGCCGACAGTCCAGGATGGAACTCAGTAGAAAGTAGCATCTGAGGGAGATCTGGAACCAGATGCTGGGGTCAGCTGGGACTCAGGTGACAGTGGCATCTATGATAGCTTCCTGTAGAGCCCAGGGGAGCTGCAAGGAGGGTGTTGAGACTGCTAGAGCAGCTGGGAGCTGGCTCTGGGCTTCTCTGTCGGGAAGGATGTGGGTGGGCACAGATCCAGAGAGGGGATCTTGTGTGGGTCCTCTCCACAATCCACACACCGTGACTCTCCCTCCCACCCAGCGCAGTAGTAAACGGCCACATCTTCTTTGGTTACAAATTTGATAGTAAGGGTTGAAAACTGAGTTGCAGAATCTTTCTTTGCTAAAACTCTGCTGTTTTGTCCTTGAGCTGAGGTTGTCGTTGAGATCACTTGAATCAGATGCTCCAAAGCCTGATCCTGTTTCTGCCGGTACCAGTGAATGGCTTCAACTTCAAAATTGTCAGTTGATACCTTGCAAGGGATGTCAACCCTTTTATTTTCTTCAGTAGAAATGGAAATCTGGGACTGCTCCATCTTCTGCACTCCGAGCCCAACTGTAAGTAAAAGAGGACAACTGTCAGTGAACTTCTGAAAATATAACAAGGGATCGTGGAAGCAATACTTTGGTCACAAAATGGGACCAAAACGTGCAGAGAGTGACTCACAAGCCCAGAAGGAGAAAAAGGTGGCTGCTTGCAGCAGTAACATCCTCAATATCAGGCTGTGTCTCCAGGGAGAAGGCAGAAAGTAGGAAGCTGATGGTTGGACCCTCAGGCAGAGACAGGAGGGTATGGCCGGAAATGGACAGAAGAAGGAAGTGGTGGGTGGGGAGACTCTGGGCCCTGCAGCCTCTCAAGTACATCTCATGCACATTTCAAGACAGAGCTGTGGTCACTCTAGGTTCAAGGGGACCAGAAAGGGCTATTTTTCTCAGGATTCAATTTTTGCGTATTACCTGTTTGATTAGTGCTAAATTTCAAAATCAAAAATATTAACGATCATTTGTCATTTTCAAGTTTTTTTCCCTAGCTGTTCTTTACCTTTAAATCTTAACAACAATCACATAGTATGGACATCTGCAGTTGCATTTTATAGATGAGGATTCTGAAGTACAGAGTGGAGAACAACTCTAGATTCACACAATTGAAAAGTAGAATCTTCCTGTAAAAATGCTCAACAAAATTAGCACAGGTGGGAAGATGAGGAAGATGACTGTGGTCATTATGGATCATAAATATAGACTAACTAAAATCTACAAATATATATTTAAAACTAACTGAAACAGGATAAGGGAACATAAAAACATAGGTAATCATAACACCAAAACCAACAACATACCATTACGGTATGCCCATGTTACTGTTTTTCTATAGACTATGAACTATAAACATATTTTTCTGTACAGAGCTTTGTATTCTGCCTTATTCAGTTCACCTTTTCTGAGCAAATTCTCACAACACTGAAGCATCTTCACGTCTGCAGTTATCCACGCTGTGTCCCATAGAAACTGCCTGACCCTAGGCGAAATTCTTCATCTCTTTGTGCATCAAATTCAATTGCATCTGTGTCAGAATTTTATGCAGATTAAATATCATGCCCAGGACAGTTCCTGACATACAATAAATGTTCAGTATTTCTTTAATATCTTTATTGTTACTTTGTCATTCTGTTAGTTCAACTTCCTCCAACCTCCTATCAAATTTTTACTTTCTCGCAGGCTTGCTTCTTCAAATGTTTCTGGGAGTGTTCTCAAGAAATGATCCAGGTAGGTCAAGAGCGACCTGACAAATGTTAGATTTCATTTTCCCACATAGGAGACTGCATTTTCCCAAACTTAATTTTTTTCTTAAGCTTCTTCACTTGTGTTTCATTATTTCCATGTGGTTTTTTCTGAAACCAGGCTGCATCAGATCTCTTTAGCCCCTGCCAGTCGTTCCTCAAGATCGTGTCCA